CACTCCTGTGCTGATGACTAGCGGTGTTCCGCAAGGGTCAGTACTTGGTCCAGAACTGTTCAAGATATTCATCAATGACCTCCCATCGGAGCTTCAGATGGATTGCCTGATTTACGCCGATGACATGAAGCTGTGGATAGATGTAACCTGTCTTGAGGATGCTGACAGATTGCAGGCATCGTTGGACATTCTACACGACTGGTCAGTCAACTGGCAATTGCCCATAAATTGTGAAAAATGCTCAGTTCTCCCCATAAGCGCCCTCGAACCGTTCGAGATATACCATATTGGTGGGGTGTTACTCCGAACCACCATTCTCGAAAAAGACCTCGATGTGCTTGTCTCACATGATTTACGGACCGCAGAAGACACACTACGGAGGGTTGTCGCTGCCAACAGGATGTCCCATGCCATACGGAGAGCCTTCTCGCGACTGACTCCGGATATCTTCAGAATCCTGTTTACTTCTCATGTGCGCCCGATCCTTTAATACGGACTATCCGTCATCTGTACTCTTACCAGGTTCGAGTGTAACATGACTGAGAAGGTACAGCGGCGTGCCTCGAAATCCATACTGGAGTTAAGGAACTTGCCTTACCCTCTTCGACTACAGCGGATGCACCTGTTCTCCCTGGAATATCGCCGACGTACAGGTGATCTGATTTTTACAAGGCGAATTCTGATGGGGGAAATGGGGATGGAGCTACAAGCGTTCTTTCAAGTCAACACTAATAGTTCCACTCGGGGGCACAACTGGAAACTATATAAACCCAGAAGGCTCAGAGTTCGCTCCACTCTCGCTCTATCAACCCGCATTGTCAATGACTGGAACGACTTGCCGGAACATGTGGTCGACGCGCAGTCGGAGGAATGTTTCAAGCGCTTTTTGGATTCTTACTTGATGAGAAAGCTGGGACCCTGCTTCTTCCAATGTAGTTGTTACGGCCCCTTGTGGAATACCGTCTGCTAGCGACTCACGGCATCCACGCAATGATCGAGAAGTGAAGGAGCTGACAAAGGACTTTCCTTCTGCTCTCTATAATCCAATGATCTAACATGTTCGAAACGTGTTTGTGTGAAAATACATTTCATGCTAGGCTTCTCACAACGGGAAAGTAGGTTCCGCTAAATTTTGGCGTAGAACCTCCGTAGGTTGACCACTTTGCTCCAGTCCTTTGGGTAGTCAGCTTACGGTTTTGCTCTAATTCTTTTTACGGCATAAAGGTGGGCTGCTAACTCACCGGACGTATGTTACTCCATTACTGGTGGCTCGACTAGTGTGACTCCGTCGTATCTCTTTTCGCAAGCTTTCCCAAATCTTTCGAAAGACCGACCGCAGAAGTTGTGGCTTCTGTGATGCCAGCTGAGAGACTGAGGTCGCACCATTTACTAAGTTGCGTAGGCGCATAGACTGCTAGGCTGAGCATTTCTACCTCAGTTTAGTTGCGCTCCTCATTCTGGTTGTTTATCAAGTGTTCCTAACTGCTTGCCTCGAAACGTTTCGGTGCAACCACCTACCGAAACAGAGGTCAGTCTTGAGCCCATTCAAAGCTGTTGGCTCAGACGGACGTTCTCCGGAGCTGTTCAAGTACGGTAGCGAGGCAAATGTCAACCAGTTAACAGCTCTGTTCTCCAAGACCTGGTGTGAAGGGAAAATTCCATCCCACTGGACAGAGTCGATTATCGTACCCAACTTCAAAAAGGACGCTCGTACCTCATGCGCCAAGTACAGAGGAATCAGTCGAGTTTCTGTTACCTCCAAATTGTCAGCCTCCGTTTCACTGCACGGACTAACACTATTTGTGTACTACAATTCTGTGAGAAACGAGCTTCTTTTCGCCCCGGTTGCGGGTGTTTGGAGCGCAAGTTTACGCTCCGTTAACACCTCTATCAGCGGCGCTTTTGTCGCTAGCCTCCTATTGCGGCCTTTCTTGAACATTAAGATGCATTCGTCTCGGTCAATCGGTCTGTTTTATGGCGCTGTGAGCAAAGGATGGGGGTGCCCGAAATGTATACTGCCATACTTCGTACGTTAAACAATCATGTCTTCGGCATTTGTACTTATACCCATTTACTCCCGCGCTGCTTCTTGAAAGCGAGCAGATTGAACGACTAGATAGCTTCATTTACCTTGGAAGCTGTATTTCTTCTGCTAGCACTATTGGAAAGAAGATTTCTCTCCATATTTCGGAAACTCTATCAGCTTTCTCTGACCTTGGACATCTGTGGCGTCGTCGTGACGCTTCACTCTCGGTAAAGGGCAGGGAATACCATGCCTGTTAGCGCGGTCCTGTTGTACAGAAGTGAGTCCTGGCCGATGGGTGTAAATGAGTTGCTTCAGATTTCGGCCTATGACAACGGTTATCTGCCGAGGATACCTCGTGGTGGTGGGAACACCAAGTTTGCAACGATGATGTTAGAGATCGAGTCTTAGATAATAGGAGCCTTCTATCGATAAGCTAATAACACTACTCCAACTGAGGTGGTTAGGTCACGTCCTACACAAGCCGGGCGAGCGTTTATCACGGCGTGATATAATCGCTCGAGCAAGACCGCAATGGAAGCAATTGCGCGGTCGTCGACCTACCACATGTCGACAGAACGTGAAGTAGCTGACTTCCAGTCTAGCTGTCGTTGGTCCCGTACGTGTTCCGGGCGGGGGAGTCAGAAATGAAAAACATCTCTGGTTATAGACTCTTGAGGACATGACGCGTAATCATGGTCAAGGGAATGTTCACAAAAGTCTATGCAGTCATTCTACCAATCAAAACCGTAAGCGATAAACGGACAAAAGAGACAAAACCGCGTGTGAAAAATACCCAAAGAATTTCGTTATATATTTTATTTATTGTGTTAGTTGTACTTATGATACACATTTATTTTCGATGTTTTTCGATGGATAGATGTCTATAATATAGACAGCTAATATATATATATATATATATATATATATATTCCGGTGTATTGCTGCGCATTAGCTGAGGTATTTTCCGTCTCTAGCTAATGTGTATAATGGTGATGATGGTGTTGCGAATAACAGAACACAAACGAAACGTTTTCACTCCAGTTAGGGTCTGAGCTTGAGCACAGCTAGGCATTAATATCTGCCTTTAGCAATATTCAACCAATTTGTCGGTCAACAGATGATAGTCTTTTGCATGAATGCAAAACAGCCTAAAAACTTGAAGAATTTCTCTACTTGTGGTGGGTTCTAAACGCGTTCTATGTCGCTCGTGATGGTGGATGGGCATCTGTAATATGGAATGCAACATTCCTAGAAATCATGGATTACAATCTCCGCTGTGCAGTCTGGTACGGGAATTTCATCTGGCCACCTGGGGAAGCGATCGATACATGTAATGTGGTATGCGAATCCACGTGCATGAAGTAAAGGACCTATCAGGTCTAGATGTACATGCGAGCCTGGGGCAGGGAAGGAATCAAGAGTACTCTGCGTATGCTTATATGCTTTTAAGGGCCGGCATTGAAGGCAGGCACAAGCCAAGGCCCTAATAGCTTTGTTTACGCTTGGCCAACCGAAAAGTTCGGTGACCAGATTCAAAGATACATGCATACTGGGATGTGATAGTGGGGAGTGCGTCGAAGAGACGGGCACGAATTGTCTGGAACAGTTAGCAGAAGTATCGTACTAGATCGTTCCGTCTGTGGTTGGGACAAGAACGAGCAGTACATGTAGTGAAGTGGATTGCATCGTGCGTTAAAGGTATTCGTCTCGGGCTGAGCCAATGCCACGACTGAGGGTTCGACGGTAGGCAGATAATGAAGAGTGAGGTTAACCTGTAAAAGAGTGTCGGAGATGGAATTGTCAACACCTGAGACATGACTTATGTCAGCAGTGAATTTTGTGACAAAATCTAGTTGTCTAGTTTCCCGTGGAGAATATTTGCCAGAGAATAAGTTAGACAAATATTAAGGATTTGTGGTCAGTGCGGACCGTAAAACACGGACTTAGGGTGTGCGCCGAAGTGATAAATGAGTAAGTAGATCGCGAGCAGTTTTCTGCTGAATGTGCCGTAGCTGGTTGCAGGCGTGTGGAAGAGAAACCGAATTGCCATTGCCCACCAACGTGTTGTTGCACGACAACTCCTACCGCGAGTTGCGGTCAGTTCAAAATAAGCAAGGAGAGTCTTGTTAGAGATAGCATTCTTGATCTTGGTGAAAACTGTGCGTGCTGTGTCAGAAAAATCGAATTAACATTCATTTCCTCCAAGGTTACCCATTAATGGCTGCGTGCGCTAAGCACGGTGAGGTGTAAAGAGACAAGAGTATTCGGCCAAACCACAAAATCGACGGAGACGCTTAAATGCAGTCGAAGCTAGGAAGTACTTAAACCGCTAGGTCTAATCAGTAAAACCCGGTTAAGAAGCGATGAGACGAGGTGGCCTAGAAATTCTACACTTGACCTGCCGCATTCACACTTTGTTTGGTTACCTGTGATACCGTGCTTTATTAATCGTTGAAGCAGGGATCGGAGATGGTCCAAATACTCTTTATTGGACGAGTCTTGATATGCCACCGAACTCGTACTTTAGAATGTGCAGTCTTGGCAACTGTATTTCAAACATAATTCCTCGTTTAGTCACATTTCCTTTTGGAAGAGATAATGGGTTACAACTAATATTACGTATTTAGTCGTGCACATTATGTTTCTTACGGTGTGGAAGATCTCACGCCCACCCATGAGACGTCGATAAAGATGCCGCATGTGTGGCCGCCTGTGCTGGTGAGGTATGTTGCAGACATCTAGGCGAAATGTTGTAATGCCTAGGTTACCGAGTGCGGACGCAGAAAATGGTTTGAACAATAGTTCACAACACTCATTGACGTTATTTTAATACAATGGGATAAATGCCATAACATAATTGGTTCTACAAAACTCATGGACGTGAATTCGCAAATCAAAGTACTGAAATTTTCGTATGCCAAGTAAGATAGCACAATGCTTATTTTTAACCATATGTTTGATTCGCTTTTTCCAGGGAAAACACATCTCAGAACTATACAAGGAGTTACAGGAAACGTATACAACTCTGCTACGCTTACAGTCGTCGGATGCAGGCAAAGATGATTCAACAAATTGTGGCGATCACCCAGCTCGTGTTTTAATGCGGCTCAAGGAAGTGGAAGAGTATCTTGCCACTAATATTACCAAGACGTCAACTACGTCTCCAGATCAGCTGTGTCTACGTCGGCTCTCTGCTCAGACCATTCCAACGTGTAACCAGGATGCAGACATATGTAGAGAAAAAGATCTGAAAGTGGAATCAAACGTATCAGACGAAACAAGTTCAGCAAATATTTACGTAGCTAATGGGCTACTGCATCATGGTGACCTTTACACCATTGATTCTTGAATTTCGTTGTATCCCTCAAGCCCCGCACAATCAGAGATACAAGTACAATACGCAGACTGAAATTTTTCTTTAGTATTTTACTCTGGACAGTGGTATTCACCAAAGGATAAGAGATTAATCTTACATCATAGTTAATTACCTCCAGATTTCACTTTCAGCAGAACATTTGTTCCCTTGGTTCACAACGAATGAGCTATGTTCCGTTTGCAAACCAGCTTTGTACATCGGAGAAGGTTCGACCGCCGTTATATAGTAAGCTATACCAGATTTGGAACAGTTTCAGTAAGCGTCTTAAGTGGTCTTGTTTCTGGAATGAAAGAAACCTTTTCCATGTTCATCTGCGCAACGTTTGAATAGGCTCGCTAAACGGTAAAATGACGGTTGCATCAGTTGTAGTGCAACAATACATCTACGTACTGGTGATAGCCGAATAAAGAGCTGTATATAAAGTTCATCCGCTATGTTTGTATGGTGTCCAGATAATCCATGTTTGGAGGTAGTGCGATGTGGGGATTAAAGTGGTCTCAGTGAAAAGCATACCTTCCACCACATGTCCTCCAGCACTATCATTCCTGATGTTGTCAAGGACAGTGGCGGATTACGGAAAAATAACAAGTTCCAGGGGTAGCCCGTCACAGTCCCCCCTCAGTGCTGCGGGCTATTACACTCCACCGGTACAACATTCTGAGTCTCACCAGGGATGCGCACTCGTTGGATCCCTGCTGGGTCCCGAGCCCATGGCTTCCGGATGCCAGTAGCTTGTGCCACCAAGCCATGAGTGATGGCGGTGGATCTGCATGACTGACCGTTGACTACGATTTAGCAAGACTCATCATCCACTGCCATGCCAATTACGAACTTGCAGGGAACAGTAGTTGGTTCCAGAACTTTAACTTTCTAGACGTGCTAGACTGTCTAACTGTGAAGAACTACCCCTGGAATTACTATCACATTTTCACTACTCAACGGTAATCAAACATCCCTCCCTATAGCTTCTAACTGCTGTAACATACGCATTCGCTATGCGGAAATTCGTAGTTCTTGGACCAACCATTTTCCCCTACATCGTTCGTAATTGACATGGCAGTGGAGAATGAGCCGTGTTATATCGTAGCCAACGGTCAGTCAGGCAGGTCTACCGCCTTTACTCATGTCTTGGTGGCACAAGCTACTGGCATCCGGAAGTCATGGGCTCGGAACCCAGCAGGGATCCAAGGAGTGCGCATCCCTGGTGAGATCCAAAAACTCAAACCGGCTGTCTAGTGCTTTTCCAACCTTGTGGTGGCCTGTCTGTTTGAGCGGGGGGCTGCGAGGAAAAACAACTGATATTTTAAATGATACATGCTTTAAGCTCACGCAATCGTATGGGGCATTACTTGTTGCTATCGTTTTATACTCCGGTGCTCGAGCCTTCTTCATGACAGTCTAAGCCAATGGTTTAAAATCCTCCACTCGGCGATGGCGACCATCGATCAGTCTTCATACTTTCGGCCCACATTCGTTCACGTCGACCGTTCGATAAACCACCAACAATCTCTAAGTGGTATCTTACTACCCGCACAATTCCGAAATGAGCATTCATGTTCGTTATCCTCGTCTCAATGAAGCGCCCTGTAGCCGCCAATTACCCGCCAGATCTTGAGATCGTCAGCTACAAGTACAATGTCCGGGGCGGTCAGACGTGTTAGCTCGTTAGTGAACACGAGGGACAGACGCAGCTCCCCCAATGGCGCTTTTACAACTCTGCACTCGTAATGAATCGGATCGGATAGCGCACTTCAAACGCTAACTTTCATGTCCACTTAAAGAGATGGTCCGCGACACCTTATCTTCGAGTCGGTTAACCAGGATGAGGTGGTCCAGACGCCAGAGGGTGTTAAAGCATGCTTAAGTGTGGTACGACTCTCATCTTTGGATTCTGTGACTCAAGCCCTTTTAACCTACGGGGCTAGTTAAGAATTTGCTTCACTACACCTGCTTAACCACTGTACAGTTTAACTGTTGCCCATTTCCTTGAAATGCAGGGCGGGCTAGTAGTGCAATAACAGATGAGATCGTCAATTTCGCGGCTGCATTACAACCTTAGCGCGGAGATTGGTAAATGACCATCACAATTGCAACTGCCAAGTGTTGCTCACCGATCTTATAGACATAGTGATCAAGACGTCCACCTATGAACACTAGGCCTCGAGCTCCACTCCAGCTCAGGCCATCTCTATCTGATGTGACCAAACGAGGAGCAAACTGGTTATGAGGTGTCAGGGTTGGCAGGAGTAACACCGAAGGACCATCATAATCTCACAAAGCTAGGTGGCTTCATGTGTCGGGGCTTGTGTACGCGTGAACTAAGCGATGGTCACCAGAGCACATGCGAATTAACGATTTGTCCAAAGTAAACTGTGACTTCACTCTTCGATGTGTCACCTGCATTCCGTTCACGGAATGCTACTGCTTGTGTGCTCAAGCGCCTGGATGTTTAGCAGGAGAACAACAACCGCTGGTAGTGTCATAATACGAGCATCTACTAGCCCTTTATCTTGACAGGCTCTGTTTTAACGGTGCTTTGGACCACGCCAAAATTTCATGGCTTACTCCGATCTGGTTTTATCCTAGCCGGCCGTTGGTAACCTCAGACGTCAACAAGTTGCTGCACCCATCCCCCAGTCGTGTGATCGGACACCGACCGTGCGACAGGTTGCATGCGAGCAAAGTCCGGGCTGAAGTAAGGCAGTTACACGGTTGTGTCCCATACATGCGTACAAGTTGCAGCAGATCTCCTTTTGGCTGGTAGCGCTTTAGTAATGAAGCAGCTGTACGTGGTTCCGAGTAGGTAACTATCGCCCGAATCAATTTGGTTGGTAAGTAGACCAACCTGGTTGTATAACAATGGAATTTAATTTGTGTGCCCCTCAACATATTTCCTGGATGGACTAATATATGACTGATAAATCGCTCAGATACCAACTATACAGAAGTGAGCGAGTTAGCGTACCTAACATGTATTTTCAGAGTTGCAAGAAGCTAGGAGTAGATTAGCAAGAGCATGTCGGTCCGTAGTCTAAAGGTAACAACCTTGTCATGTAAGCTGGGGGCGCGAATTCGAGCCTTCATAGGGGCAGGGCGACCCTCGCAATATCCTTAGCCTACGTGTGATCTGTGGCGGTTGCGCGTCCGTGATGGGTCGGTACTGGTGATCATGGTACTGCTGATGCATATATTTCTTTTTCTGGCAAGAGCAAGGAGCAGTGTAGCGCACGATTGGCATAGTAATCGAACATGTGCGGGATGTGCATTCAGTAAAATCAATGGACGAGAAGAAGATCAAAAGAACAATAATGTCTACGTTGCAAAATACTGAAAGAGTAAATTTTTGCCCGCCCGTGGCTGAAAGTACAAGGCCACCGCCATGCAACCCGTCGGTCGTAGGCTCGAGCCTGTGTAGTGGCTCTGACGATCATCGCAGTATCCTTAACCCTTGGCGCTGGTTGGGTGGCAGTGAAGCGTCGGTACGGCGTACAAGCGTATTGTTAATATTCTTTTTGTTATACTAGTATAATAAAACGGTTTACATTCACCGTTGTGGTAACGTGTCGTTTTCCATTATGGTAAGTGTCAGCAGCTTTCAATAACTCAATAAATATACAGCTGTCCGAACTGACACAGACCGGGAACACAGTGCAGCGATGTCACCTACTGTTTATAGGAACATGCGATTTGGCCGAATGCTCTCTAGAAAACCAGTTACCAACCCTGTTGGTTAGGTGATTTGAGATCATCCACTTTTATGCCAGCGCCATCTACTGACCTCTTGTGAATTGTTAAATTCCTAAGGATGGGGACAAAAATTGAAAAGGAAAACTGTGAAAAAGCGTGTGTTTGCAACTTCTCTAGCGTTCACATTGGTCAAACTGGTGTATGAGAGCACATTACGCAGGGTAACTCTCTTTTGGTGACATGAAAGTACCATCTCGTGCCAGCTAAAGGCTTCGGTATTAATTCATTCTCAGTTATGTTGCAATAGCAAACAAACTTGTCAGGTTTTATATGAGTCCTGCTCCGAAAGACAGGGTTCGGCTCAGTGAGCCTTCCGCGACTGTCAGGTTTGAACTTCTTATAAATCTGTACTCAATTAGACAGATGGTTATTTCGTGGCCCACTGTTGTGAAGCTACGCACCGGTCATTAAGACACTAAATTACAGGGATCATCTTGAACGAACTTGCGTGCTAATCGCTCACCTATGCACTCCTGGTTCCTTCACTGTGATTCAGCGACAATTTGTTGCACACCTTTGGATCTATACTTCTCTGTCGTACTTCTCTAAGCTGCACCTTGTGATACTCTTTTCTGGAGTACACCTCAACGCATTCTACATTTACCATGAGTTTTAAATTCCGGGCAGTGTTTTGACGATATCCGAGAGCCAAAAGTTGCGTAACTCCAAATATCGGTGACCGTGTTTGGTCACACTGAATAGGCCATTTCAACAGCTTTCGGACGAACTCTAATTCGTTAAAATCCAATATTGCTCGGAGTGGCTACAGATTTCAGGGCAAATTAACCTGGCGCGATCCATAGGTCTAACAATGAAAGTTCTCAGTCAAACCCCGTATAGTCTACCCCACATTCACCTTGACGCATTCGACTGGCACTCCAGAGGGGATAGTCTGCACGCACACAACTGCAAAGTGAACCCCGTGACCTTGGCGTCAACGTCAGTAACAGAACAACTTTTTACCATCGATGGTGGGTCATTCAAATGGTACGTAACGTTTGCTCAAGAAACGCGATGCCTAGTGTGCCACGGTCCACAGACCTATGTGGATCATCTGCCACACTTGTTAAGGGGGCCTTCCTGCCGTAACTGCTGCGTGAGTTTCCATGCGAGATCGAGTTAAACCAAGTCAGATAAAATTAGTAGACAAACCAGATTATCTATGGTTCTGCATGGAATGCACATCTATCCCACTAATAAAAACGTACTCCTATTATGGCAGGAACAAGACCAGCTACTGGCCAAGTTTGAGGAAATGCTTCCCACCAACATTACCATGGTTGGGGTATTCATAGCGGAGTGTGAAACCCAAGCCAACCCAGTAAGTGCTGCTTCTATCCTTAGGAAAACGGCTAGTAAGACCGTAAGCTAAAGGATACCGAAAGCTCAGAAAATCAACTGCTGTTCCCATACCACATTTGGCTAACCTTTGTCTAATGCGGTCCCCAGTTCAATCGGAGTAACTACACGTAAGGTTACTTCCAATCTCCTGACGAAG